TTTTTTTTTCCTTTTTTTTTTCACTGTGAGCGTTTTTTCTTTTTTTTTTTTTTATTTTATATTTTTGCGTGTCGAAATTTTCGGAAATTTTTACCCCCTTTAAGCGAAATGATTGAAATTCCACGAGAGTGACTTTGTTTGTTCCGTCGAAGATTTAAAAGGTATAAATTCTACGATTGGACATTTAACTTCTCTCGTGTAAAATGTTTAAAAGTTCTATCCATCTTTTACAATCGAGAAATATTTTCGTCGTGAGTTTCTCAATTATTCGCAAAAGAAAATACTTTTATTTATCGTTCCAAAGAAAATCTCGTCTTGTGTTTATTATTTATAACGCGAAACGAAGGAAGCACAAAAAATTGTTACGTTTTTAATCGAAATTAAAATGGTGGATCGTGCTCGATCTCTCTGCGTATTCGGATAGATTTCGAGAGACTCGGTGAACTAGGATAACGAATAGCGCAACTCGATCACGGAGAGAGCTGTTTGAGATTGGAAATTTTAGTGAACGAGACAACGATTGCGCGCAAACGATCCGTCTACATATTTCTCTCATAGACAGAATAGAATTACGAATTTGCGTCTCAAGGTTGGTTTAACGGGATAATTTGCAGAGCGACGGTTTTCACGGTTTTCCTCTTGCGACGAAGAATCGAAGAAAGGAGGAGAGAAAGTTGGCGCTCTTATTGCGAAACTATGCGAGTCTGACGAGCCACTTGAGTTCTCCAATTAATTGGACGACCGCCTTCACGGAGACGATGTTAATTAGAGATTATTACCAATCGTTCTCCCTTTGCGACGAGTGGTCCCGCCTATTGAAGCACCTTGGAAATTATATATCGATCCTAGAACAGTCGAGAAAACCGTTCGTTATTCCTTGGGAAATGTAAAATATACAATCCTTTCTTCGATCGTCGTTCATTTCCAAGCAATCTAGGAAAATATAGCAGAATCTGAACATCTCGAGGGAAGATCGAATCCGTTCAAAAATTATTCTTTCAAATTTGCGAAAAACATCGAGGTCGAAGATGAGAAATTGGAAAATTGGACGAGTAGACGCGATCTACTCGGAGGAATATGGAATTAGTATCGTATTCCACAGCTTGGCGGAGAGGGATTAATTACACGGCGATAAGGTCTCGTCAATGGAGGAGGGGGAAGGATTAAATGGAAGATGGGCGAAACCTGTTCTTTTATCCGTTGGACGAGTTTTCGAGAGTAATACGATGACGAAGTTCCAGCTTCCTCCGGATACCAACCCGCTGTCAGAGGCTTTGAAACTGGGCCGAGCGCTAATTAAGGTCTAATTAATTGTTTCACGTACGGTGGCAGCCTCCAATTATGGCTTCCAATCGATTATCAGCGTCCGTGGTAGAAGTACGGGTTCCTATTGAGCGAAACACGATCACTGATAAAGAAAAGGGAAAAAAAGAAGAAGGGAAAAAACGCGGGAAAAAAAGCTCGCCCGGGGGAAAAAGACGAATGCACTCGAATGGAAAGAATAGAATTAGTCCCAGTGTTCCGTTTTAGAGTTGTTGTTGTTGTAAAAGGATCGATGATGACTTTTTAAAAAAACGAACAAATTTTAACGCAAGTGTATTAATTTTTCACATTAATGATTTGTAATTCGTTTGTAATTATTATTTAAAAAATTTTTATGCCTTTTATAATAATTGTCGCTCCAAATTACTTTCCACATCTTTTACTTGATATCATCAATACTATGGATACAATAAAGATACTCGATCGCATGAATTTAATGCATAAAATTCACATCCAAAAATTTCTCCAAAAACTACGAATATAATAAATAACATCTTACTCCTATGCTGCGATATCGAACACCACCAGATAAGATAAAGAAGAATATTCAAACCTGTATCTATACGCCAAATATCGTCTTTCATCCCGGTTAACGGCGTGTGTTCACCGTTCACGATAACCATGGCAAACTTTTCCGCTACAGCCTTCCAACAAAAGCCCCCCCCCACTCCCCGTCGTTCGACTTCCTTCTCTCTTCTTCTTCTCTCTTGCCCCAAAAAAAAAAGAAAAAGAAAAAGAAGATCCATACTTGTTGCGAGAGAAACATCTCTGGCGCGCCGAAAAGAGAGGAGCTTCGCAGAGTCTTCGATATTCCCTTTAATCCGGTTGGGCCGATCAATCGGGGCTCTGCGGACCCGATACTTGCCACGTCCCCCGGGATATCCACTCCGCGGCAGGGAACTAATCACGGAGTGGAAACTCGGTTCGTGACTCGGTGGCTCGGTTGGATTGTCGCTTTTGAAAATTTCATTCGACAACGTTGGCCAACCATCCCCCGCCCCAAATTGAGTTTCATGTAACGGTACGTACACGCGATTCCGAATCAATTCGACGATACGTATGTATATATATATCTGAAATATGGGTCGGCGATAAAAAAAAAAATTCTCTTTGCATCGATAAATTAATCGATCGATTGTCCCAATTATCCGAATTTTGCATTTTGGAATGAAATTGAAATCTCGTCTCTGTATAGCCGAATATACGATCTCTCAAGAATTTAACGACGAAACTTGATGGCGTGTATCAAAGAAATTATCGAAAATGTGTTTACGTTAGGAAAAAATTTGATAAAGTTTAAAGATCGTGTATCTGGAATGACGGGTGATTAAAAGAATTCTCGTTATATTGAAATTATCCGTAGTTTCAATGTTTAATTACTATCTTATCCTATAAAAGGATTTCTTGATTGTGACGATTTAATACGATTACGAAATTTGATGACGTGCATCAGAGATCGAAAATTATCGATGAAATTATCGAAAATGTGGTTATCTTGGCAAAAAAGATTCTTAAATATTGGAATAAAGAGAATTTTGACGGTTTAAAGATTAAGTATCTGGATTGATAAAAAAATTCTCGTTTCATTGATATCAATACTTTTTTAATTATTCGAATTTTCGTATTTAATCTTATCTCTATAAGAATTTCTCGTATTAACAATTTAATACAAGATTAAATGAAATTTAATGGCGTACATCAGCGACGAACGATGAAAATATGGTACCGATGCCATACGTTGAAAAAATTATTATTTGGTCAAAAGTCCAAAAAAAGATTCTCGAATAAAGTTGGAATCAATTCGATCTTCCATTCGAACAGATAAAAGACGGTTGTTTCATTAAAATTTGTAAATTCACGACTTCGATTTTTCCGCGTGAAATAGGACAGGAATTTGAAGAAGAAGACTCGTAAACTATTATGGAAATTCGCAATTAGTATTCAGCTTATTTCGACCAATTACTTATCCGACAAGTATTATCGGTTAATTTAAGCGAGCTTCGTTGCGCAAAGTTCGCGCTCACCTCGAATCCAGCTACCAGGATCCGGTTCAAATAATTTATTCGAAGCGACTTGGGCCAAATTTCGAGCGATTCCACTAACGACTGATCAACCTTTCGTCGCATCTTTTGTCGCATTAGAAATTCTTCTAGAAATTTGAAATTTCGTCTCGATCGATGATAATAATTCTTTCGATTCTTCGAACGACAAACTTGATACAAATTTGCTACGAACTGGTGTGTTACAGCTACGCGAGTACACGTTGACGGAAACGTATCACGAGGACGACGTCGAGGTGGAATTCGTCAGCAACGACAATCTGCTTGCCAGCAATCCGACTCCTAGAGGGATCGATCCGAACAGGGACCTGAACGAGGCCATCGCCGAGGAACGGAAGGAAATGGACACTCAGAGATACAGGTACGTGTCGCTCGTTCATTTTTATCGAATTCCAGTTCGAAGGGACGAAGTAGTATAATGGTAGTGGCGTCGAGAGATAGGAAACGATGGGGAAAAATTCGAAAATTTTTCGATTATCATTATCCGTGTTATTTATGGAGCTTAAGCTAGTTTTTTTTTTTTTTTCTTAGAAAAGTGAAAATAGAGAAGAAAGAAAGGATAAAGACGCGTATAGATGCCGTTCGTAGACGATTTAATTTATTTGAAATGGCCGTTTTACGGAAGATTGAAATTTACGTTTCTTCTTCCGTTCTCGGTTTCGTTCCTCTGAGATTAAGAATTGTCAATTTCCAAACTCCAATTTAAGATTTTTTTACGTTTCGAAGATTTAAAAATTTTCCATTCTTTTCCCATCTTTGTATGCCAAGATTGTATTGCTTTTATTCAAGAAATGGTGATAGAAATATTGACATCATGGTTTATCACCATCTGCACGTAACAACGATAGAAATTCTTTCTCCTTTTTCCAACAACAATTAAATCCTTCGAAAATTAAAAACTCCTTTCATCCCTCGAGCTTATTTTCCAAATGTGCTCGATTCAAGAAAAAATGGAGGGGAGGGAGCAGTCGTAGTAGCAGCGATGGATGTTTTCTCCCGTGTGTTTACAATTCACTCTAATTCGAAGAATTGAATACCAGGTCAGATTCCAGCTCGTATTTGAAAAGAGGCTTTCCATCCTGGGAAATTCGCCCTCGAAATTTCTCCCTTAACTTTTTTTTCAAACGCTGTATACACAGAAGGAGGAGCAGGGATGCACGGGGGAGGAAATAACGATTCCGCGCGCATTTCTCGTTGCACAAAGCTAGACGGCTAGACGGAGGCAGGGGGAAAGATGAACTTTCCCTATGAAGCCGGGGGTGGGGCTCGATCGTAAAAGTTAAAGAGGGAAATAGAGCGAGAGAGGAGGAAGAGGAGAAAGGATCTCGCAATGATACGAAGCGAGGCGGGTTGCGAAAGGGAAGAAAAACGTGAGATAGATCTTCTTCGAGATCGTCTTCGCTCTGTGAACAATCATTGGAAGAGGATATCCTTCGTCCACGATCGTGCATCTTCCTCCTCTTCTCTCGCTCTCGCGGACATTGTCGATTTTCATTGAGATTTTCACACCCAACACTCCTTTATACGCAAGTGTCCCCTTCCCTGCCCCTGACCTGTAGCTTCTGCCTGCAAGCGTTCTTCTTCTCGAACCCTTGTTCGTCGCCATTGTGACGATAGGGGTATCGAACGAATTTCGCCATTTTCTTAGTATTGGAGTATCGAGATTATTTTATCATGGCGTTTATTTGTTTTATGCAAATTACAATCAGTTTGTTGTATGAGGTAGAATTAAATTTTATTTTTCGTGGAAAATATGAACAACGATCGCAAGTAACTCTTACTCTGTGTATTAATATCCATTTTCGTTCTTATAATCCGAATTTTTGAAATCGAAAAAATGAAACAAGTTTTTTTTAAGAGGAAATTGAAAATTCGCTTAGATAAGAGAAAAATTATGCCGATATCGTTGTTGGAAACGGATAACCTGCAACTCGTTCAAATCAAGTGATGCAACTGTGCAAATATCGAATCCATTAATATCCAATTTTAAAGAAAAGGTAGTAAAACGAATATTTCGTCGATAAAATTGAAATGACCGAAACGCGATTTCTATTAAAAAAATAATGAATATAAAATATCTAAAAAAACCTCCACTTATTTATCATTATTTATTTTCTTCGTAAAAAACGGAAACTCGTGAAAGAGGAAATAATACGGAATCAAACGCGGTTTCCGATTCCCCCTGGTCACCTTGTACACGCCATCCGACATCCGATTCCCGATAACGATATTACTTTTCGCGGATTCTCAGTTGGAATTTCTCCTATTATATACCCGGCACAAAGTGGAGTGGCCTTATCCCGTTGTAATATCCGGTCATGGCGTGGGTCAACGCGTCCATCTATGAAACGGAGCCGAGCCAGTGTCGTAACTTTTCCCTTATACTTTATACCTTCCTTGCCTTCGTCGAAGTTATCAGCCTTTCTCGAGAGGGGGTGGGCAATTTTTATCGAATCAAACGTGGACGTCTTCGTTCTTCTTCGTCGAATTGGATTCGTTCGCGACAATATCGCGATGCGCCTTGGAAAATTATCGGCGACGGATCGAGTGAAGCGCGAGATTTCATCTTGGGACGAACGATAGTGGAAATAAATTTCCAGACGAGATTTGTCTTGTAATGGTTATTTAATTTATATAGGATATTGTAGAGACAGACGCTGTACAATTTTGATGAAGCGCGATCTTTTCGCGTTGATCGGACAGATTTTGTGATTCGATTAATTACGAATCGGTCAAAAATGAGAAGGGAATTTAGAAGAATATTCTGGAATTATTATTAAGTTAAGGATTCTTTTTGATAGCGAGATACTGTGGATAATAAAATATATATCTCATCGTGGTTTAATATCGGTTTAATATCGATCGAGATATATCCTGTATCTTTTATTAAGATTCGAAAATTTTATCTGAAAATTTGGGACAAAAAATTCCCGAGCATGGTAATATCGCATGATGTCATAGATGCTATGGATAAAATATTTCATCGTTTTAATATCGGCTATTGGAGATGGATATCTCGCGTATCTTTTATTAGGATATTTCGTCCGAAAATTTGAATTAAAAAAAAAAAAAAATGATAAATAAAGAATACATTATATCTCTCCAAAATGAATTTTATTTCACTCTTATGATGGAAACCCGTAACGAAATAATTTTCGTTGCCTTCCAAATTAAATATATAAAAAAAAAAAAATAGATATTTCTATCCAAATTACGGATTGAATAAAATATACGCTTAAATATCAAGTCCGTGGTGCACTCGCACAACAACGTACAAGGTGGTTTAGAAGAAAATAAAGAAGTTTCTTTAATTCCACAATTGGATCACGATTCGATAAACCAGAGAGTACGAACGAGAGTTATCGAGACGAAAGAAAAAAAGGCGCATCGATCGAATAAATTTTTTTACCCAAACTGCTGGAATTGTTTCGACGAAGGGGAATAGAAACACAAGCTTGATACCTGGTCACTACCAGCTACCAATGACAATCGTAAAATACGTTGTTCTGGCTACGAAACTTTTAACCAAATTGGAACACCGTCCATTGGAATTTATTTTTTTCTTTTTTTTTTTTTTTTCCTGTATTCCTTTCGATATATCAGTATTTCGTATCAATCGTCTCGAATACGCGAAACGTTAATCAAACCTCTGACGTTTCTGCACCATTTCTCTCTTCTCTTTCTAAGTGGCTTTAAATTTTCAATCTCATTCATTTCCCCAAGAATAGATCATCCATCTTGGATCAACGATACTTTAATCAATCGATTAAGCCATATTTCAATTCCGAATGAAGCTTTTTGATAAGGATACGGATGTACGAAAATCGAAGAATTCTATACCAATTTTAAAAAAAATAATTATAGAAATGAATCTCAACAATCTTCTCTTATTCTCTTGAAGAGAACTCTCGAGATTATTTCTTTCACAAGTGGAAACTTACAAGTTGAAAGTGATTTGGGTAATCGAGTCGCATATTGAGAATTTTTACATGTTCGATTTCAAAGTTGAAAGAAAGCATGGAGAGTTGAGCAGTTATGAAGACGTTTTAAATTATCCCTGAAATTATTATCACATATTTATCTTGCCAAAAAGAGGCCACGTCAAGGATGGAAGGAAATTCAGCAGCGACGGAGTACTAGGAATACAGCAATTTCACGAGGACGAGCTCAACTTTATCGCGAAACCTGCTATGTATTTTGTAACCGTGTTCCGAATATCAACCATGTTTCGAGCACTTTCGAGGTTTTCCTTTGTTAGGATGTTAACGACAAGCTGGCATAGTGGAGCTGCCACCGCAGGTGCGACAGCTCATTGAAGAGAGCCAGCTTTAGAAACGTTTCTATAGACACCGGCTATGCTCGAACAATGTCGCTCGACGATGAAAAAGAAGTGTGTCGCCGCGGCCAGCTAGCCGAGGCCATATTGAATAATACCCAGTACAATCCTGGCTACCATTCAACCGAGTGACCCACTTCCCTTCTTCCGAATGTGACGAGGAGGAGGAAAAAAGATCCTTGCAACAGATGGATTAGCCGAGTGCGGCGGATTTCGAGCGCGAACCACCTTTTCCAACCCTTCCTTTCAATTTCCCTCTCGTATTTTCATCGATTTCTACTCGGGAAGCGCGGATCGCCACCTAAATCGAAACGATCGATGAAACGATGATACGCGTGTAATGCTCTTCGAGCCCTCCACTTCTCCATTCCGACTTCAAAATGACTACTCGTCCAAATCTTCGTTTCAGTCAGATTCAGCCACTCCAACTAC